GATCCGAGGAAGGCTCTGCAATCTCATAATCTCTTCAACCTCATGATTTTTTCAACTCCTGGAACCCTAGCCACTTTTGCGACCCCGGAATGTTTTCAATCTCAAAATGTAATCAACCTCTCGGACCGAAGCGATTCTGCAATTCCAAAATTTCTTCTCGGAAGTTTTTTCAAAGCTGGGACCCAAGCGACATTTGCAATTTCTCATAATTTCTTCAATCTTGAAAAAATTTCAACCCCTAGGACCCGAGCCGGACCTCTGCAATCCCATTGTTCCCATTAATTTTTCAGAAATATAGATCACTTCAACCCCTGAGCTCGAGCGACCTTTGCAATCTCAAAATTCTTCAACCTTCATGATCTGAGTCAGTCCACCGGGACCCAAGCGACCTGTGCAATCTCAGCATCTCTTCAACCTCGTGATATTCTTCAACCAGCTCTGGAAGCTGCCAGGCTGAGCGTCTAGCGGCTTCTCTTGTTGAAACGTTGTTTAGGGTTACGTCACAATATGCCATTTGTTTCGTGTGTTAGAGTTTGCAGCCTCTACGAGACTTTCTGCTGAGTTATGTGACAGATAGTATGCCTTTATTGTATATGTTAGAATTTGCGGCCTCTCTGGGACTTTGTTTAGGGTTACGTCACAATATGCTTGTATTTTGTGTGCCAGAGTTCGCCGCCGCTTTGGGATTTCTTAAGGGTTACGTCACACTGTGCTTTTATTCTATGTATTGAAAGGTTAGGCGGCCTCCAGAGCTGGGACTTTGTTTAAGGTTGCGTCACAGTATGCTTAAATTGTTTTATGTGTTAGGGTTTGCGACCTCTCTGAGACTTTGTTTACGGTTACGGTACGTCACAATATGCATGTGTTTTATGTGCTGGGGTTTGCGGCCTCGCTGAGATTTGGTTTAGGGTTACGTCACATTGTGCTTTTGTTTTACGTTTTAAGAGGTTAGGCGGCCTCTCGCGGACTTTGTTCAGGGTTACGTCACAGTATGCTTTTGTCTTATATGTGTTAGGGTTTGCGGCCTCTCTGGGATTTTGTTTAGGGTTTCGTCACAATATGCTTTTGTCTTATGTGTTAAGGTTTGCGGCCTCTCTGGGATTTTGTTTATAGTGTTACGTCACAGTATGCTTTTGTTGTATGTGTTAGGGTTTGCGGCCTCCCTGGGATTTCGTTTAGGGTTACGTCACAGTATGCTTTTGTCTTATGTGTTAGGGTTTGCGGTCTCTCTGGGATTTTGTTTAGGGTTTCGGCACAGTATGCTTTTGTCTTATGTGTTCGGGTTTGCGGCCTCCCTGGGATTTTGTTTAGGGTTACGTTACAATATGCTTTTGTTTTATGTGTTAGAGTTTGCGGCCTCTCTGGGACCTTGTTTAAAGTTACGTCACAGTATGCTTTTGGTTTATGTGTTAGGGTTTGCGGCCTCTCAGGGAGTTTTTTTAAGGGTTACGTCACAATATGGTGTGTTTTATAAGTTAGGTTTTGTGGCCTCTTTAAGATTTTGTTTAGGGGTTATGTCCCAGTAGGCTTTTGGTTTATGTATTGAGAGTTCGGGCGGCCTCACTAGGACTGTGCTTAGGGCCCTACGTCACAGTATGCTTTTGTGTTATGTATTCGGGTTTGCAACAAGTTCCTGGGAGTTTGTTTCAAGTTTTTCAACAATATGCATTTATTTTATGTATTAAGGTTTACGGAGTCCTCTGAGATTTTGTTCTTGCAGATCCTGTGAGACGGTTCCGTCACAATATGTCAGCCTTTGCGGCTTCTCCCGGAGGTTGATCTCTTGAGGTTGATGAGATTCCGAGTTTGCAGGGGTCGCTCAGATCCCAGAGGTCGAAGAGATTTTGAGTTGAAGAGATTCTGAGTTTGCAAAGGTCGCTCGGATCCCAGAGGTCGATTTGATTGGTGGTTGATGAGATTCTGAGTGTGCAGAGGTCGCTCGGATCCCAGAGGTCGAAATAATTTGAGATTGATGAGTTTCTGAGTCTGCAGAGGTCGCTCAGATCCCAAAGGTCGGAGAGAATCTAAGGTTGATGAGATTTTGAGTCTTCAGAGGTCGCTCAAATCTCAGAGGTCGAAGAGAATTTGACATTGAAGAGATTCTGAGTTTGCTGAGGTCGCTCAGATCCCAGAGGTCGAAGATCGGATTTTGAGATTGAAGAGATTCCAGGTTTGTTGATGTCGTTCAGATCCTAGAGGTCGAAGAGATTTTGAGGTTGATAAGATTCTGAGTTTGCAGAGGTCGCTCAGGTCCCAGAGGTCGAAGAGATTTTGAGGTTGATGAGATTCTGAGTTTGATGACGTCGCTCAGGTCCCAGAGGTCGAAGAGATTTTAAGGTCGCTCAGGTCCCAGAGGTCAAGTAAATTTTGAGGTTGAAGAGATTCTGAGTTTGCAGAGGTCGCTCGGATCCGAAAGCC